CGTGCTAATGTAATTATGTTTTGCAAAGCATTGAGTTCTATTTTTTGAATTGTGCATGTTTCCCCTTCTCTCTCGCATAATTTTGTGATTATTATTCCTCCAAGTGTAATTTTTTATTCCTCCAATTCTACAATTCGGCAAGTTGCAAGATATTATAAGAACTCATAAAATTAGAGTTCTATAATGGGACCAATTTTGTGCCCTAACATTGCCAATGGAAAACTCTAGGATTAATGTTGTAGTCTGACTTTTAATACCAATTGTAGATCTCTATTTTTATGAGTTCTAATAATAACTCATAGAATTATACCATTTAAGAAATAACAACTAGTGGAAAAAAATGAAATATTAACTACTCAATAAACTCAACTCCATAGTTTGCAAAACATAATATACATCCTTCCAAATCAGCCATGGTAGTTAACGTAGTTTATTACTATCAATAAATATTCTAAAAAGACAACCAAACATTATTTTATGCATAACTTTAAAAAAATAATCTTGTCTTCTTCTTCTCGAACTTTTTGGTAAACAATATTTGCAATAACACAACAAAAAAACCATTTAAATTGAATAGTTTCACGAACCTTTTCACATCTAAAAATCAACTTAAATATATTTGTTAACTTCTGCATATGAGAGTAAATATGGTATACTTTCATCATTAACAAAGTCTACAACTCACGTACCCAAACATGTTCTTTTCTCTTTCTCTTTGTTAATTTTGACAAAAGCATTCCTCCCTACTGCTGTTGCTGAAAAAACACATTTGTGAACAGTTATATATGTTTTCTAAAATTTATGTTTTTGAAAGACTCGTGCCACATGTGGATAGTTTCAAATGTGGTTTTCGATAAATGGAATTATATGAGTAGTTGGATTTCATGTAACAACATTTCTCCATAAGATAAATAATATAGTAAAGGAGTAAAATTCAACAAAAAAAATAAAATACAGCAAAACAACTGTCATAATGAAGCTTCTTGTAACAAATGGACAACACGAAAGACAATGGATTTTACTAGTCAAGGAAACAAGTGATAACTCCAAGTAAAGAAACAAAAAGAAGCTGTATTTCTTGATTGTGATCGAAAGAGTGTGAGATAATACTAAAGTTTCAGACAATAAATTTTTATCTTTGCCAAAACAACAAGAATAACCACACAAAAAAGCTAGATAACTTGCATGCCTTGTAAAGTATAACTTGCATCTCTTTATTGCCTTCAAATGCTAAATAGCCTCTTTGCCCAAACTTTAATGTCCGGTTAATTTGATTATTTTTTGGAAAATTTTCACTTAACCCACATATGATTTGCATGAATATTATCCACATAATCTCCTATGGTTTTATGCAAGGAGGTTAGGCTGTTGTTCAATTTAGTGCTTAAGTAATGGTGATGCTAGTATTTCAACTAATGGCATTACAAAGGCTATTTTCCATCAAACTTTCATTTTACATGAAATCGCAAGAGGTAAAATGAATATTTTGAAATGTTAGAAAAGCCATGTAGCAATAGGTGAAACCACAATTTGGTTATGTGCAAGTTACTCTACATATATTTTTTTGTAAGGTATAGTTTACTTAATTTCAATTATATATGGCATAATAGAGTTTTATCATAATTATGCTACTTGCTTTACTTGGTATAATCAGCCAGGTATGAAGTATTAAATCTATGCAAATTTAATTAAATTCTTTTTTACCTTACTCCAATGTTGTACATTAAATTCAGTTTGACATCATAATAATTGTAATACGGGGATCATGGCCTCATATGTTCTGGTTCAACCCAGTTGAGAGCAAAATAATTATTTTACATTTCTTTTACACTGCACTCATATTTCTTTATACCGTATCTAGATTCATTTATACCATGCCTCCATTTATTTACACTTCAAAGACAAATTGGTTTGAACTAGAACTTGTGAGGCTCCTAGTCCATGATAGGGTGTTGTAGTTCATATTGCTCACTTTCTATCTCTCAGTGTGGACAGTATTTGTTCAAAAGTCAATGACTATCACTTCAAATATGGATCACACAACTTAATTCTTTTCCTTTTTTACGTTTAATTCCCCTTAATTTGGCTGCATCTTGTGTTTATCACGCACTGTGGGTGGAATTCAACATTGGAGAGCATTGTTGCTGGGGTGCCAATTGTGGGATGCCCACATTTATCTGATCAGACAACAAATGCAAAGCTGATTGAGGAAGTTTGGGGTATTGGGGTGAGAGCAAAAGCTAATGAAGAAGGGGTGGTGGAGAGAGGAGAGATCAGGAGGTGCTTGGATATTGTGATGGGAGGTGATGAAAAAGGGGAAGAAATGAGAAAAAATGTTGCTAAATGGAGAGGCAATGATGGAGCCAAGGGGGGACAGAGGGGGGCCATGGCCCCCCTAAGTTTTGAAAATTTTAAATTCATAATATGTAAATATGTGTGTAACATAAAATTGCCCCCCCTAAATTTTTACAATTTTAGTTTATATTATGAGAGTTGGGATATATATATATATATATGTGTGTGTGTGTGTGTGTGTGAATTAGTCATCTTTGAATTAATTTTTTTCTTCAGAAAAAGTTATTTATTTTTTATTGTACTAATTATTTAACTTTCAAAAATTAAACATATAATTTGATGTTCCATATTAAATTGACCCAATGTGATGTATTAGAATAAAAAGACCCAATTCATAATTGTTAATTGGCTAAAAAGACCCAATTCATAATTGTTAAAAGCAAGAACTAGTACGTCTAAGAATAGAACTTCAATATTTTGAGTTCGACATTCCAAATCATCATGAATTGCAAGAATTATCTGGTATTCATGAGTTATGTCAAGACTTGGTGAAGACAAGAAAATCAGTGATATATCCTCTTATTGACAGATTTATTAGACATGTTAGTACTCTTCCTATATCAACTGCAACTACAGAGTGGGCATTTTCAATTATGAAAATAATCAAGACAAAGTTCTGAAACAAGATGCAAGATAATTTCTTGAATGATTGTCTACCTGTGTATATAGAAAAGGAAGTTGCTGAAAAATTTAGCAATGATTCAATCATAGATGAATTTAATTCTATGAAAGAGCGTAGAGCTTAATTTACTTCTAAGAAAAGATATTGAAATTTCAAATTATGTTAACATAACTTTTATCTTTTTTCAATTGAAAATAGTTACATTTATATTACATGGTTATATATATATATATATATATATATATATATATATATATATAGCATAGGTGACATATTGGAGAGCATCTTCTCATAATGTGCAAATTGGATGATTTGTGATGTTATAAGATATTTAATCAAAAGTTATCTTTTTTGTTAATTTTTGTTATGACTATACCGCATATTTATGAATAGACATACCTTTATAATTAAATTTAATATTTGATATATTTAGATGTTATATATTTAAATAGAAGAAAATTATTTTGAACATAATATATTAAGATAATTTTATTAGGAAAAAATTTTGGCCCCCCCAAAAAAAAAATCCTGGCTCCGTCATTGTGGAGAGGTATGGCAATGGAGGCTGTGAAGGAAAATGGATCTTCATACAACAATTTCAGAAATTTCTTGCAGAATTTGGAGTAAGGATGATGATATTAATTAGTTTCTTGTAGGAGGTCTGCCTCTGAGTCTCAGTTCCTGAAGTGATCACAGTTCAAGTTTTGGACCCTTCATCAAATTGTCAGTTATATGTATTGCTTATCCTTGGATATGTCTTACTGTATTATGTAAACAAATTGTATTAAAATGGCTCCAAGAATCTGTTATATATCTATATACACATATATAAGAAGCAGTTTCGGTTTACTCTTTGATGCACTTTTCGGCTTCCATTTTCATCTGCTTCGTTGGTAACAAAAACTTTAAAATGTAGAGATATGTATGTTATTATGCAGAGGGAAGCACCATTTATTCCTTTGCTCTAGAAAATTTAGCATCTCATCTCATATAGATTGACGGTAGTTTCATGTTCATCTTATTGTGCAGAGGGAAGCATCATTTGGTCCTTTGCTCTAGAAAATTCATCATCTCATATATAGATAGAGATTGGCGGTTGTTTCATGTCCTAGCCCATTAATATCCTAGGGATATGTATCATTATGCAGAGGGAAGCACCATTTGTTCCCTTGCTCTAGAAAATTTATCATCTCATCTCATATAGCTATAGAATTGGCGGTAGTTTCATGTCATAATCCATTAATATCCTAGGGATACGCATCTTATATTATTATGCAGAGGCAAGTATCATTTGTTCCATAAGCCACGACAGCAATGTAGCAATCAAGCAACATAATGACTCTATTGCCCTTCCACGTGCTTGGTTTTTGTGCAACCAAAGGATCACAGTCATGGGTACAATTGCACGTCTCATATCAGAACTCTTTTTTCATTTGAAAAGGCAGCTCTGGATGAACTCCTGCAACTCATCTCACACTCGGGAAGTTCAACTCAAGGCAGGGCATTGTTTTTGTGCATTCCAGGTGGAGCTTTGGTTTTGCGACGTCTGGTTTTTGTTTGTGCGAAAGAAAGTAACCCATTGAAACAATATATAAACGTTGTTTCTGGTTTCTCTGTTCTCCATCTTCTATCTTTTTCATCGTCTTGCATTTTCTTCTTTGCAGCTCTTAAACAGTATGTATTTTTTTTCTTTTGTCGAATTCTAGCTTCGTTTGCTGCTTTTTATCCCTGTTATGTTTAGTATTTCTTATCCCTGCAGAGTTTCCTGCTTCCTGTTTCTCATCTCTCCAACTTCATTAGCTGCTCCTTATCCGTGCAAGTTTCCTCAGCAATTTCAGGTTCCGTTCCATGCTTTCTTATTAATATCACGACTCTTTTATGGTTTGTTAAGAGTACCGTTGTGTAGTTTTTATACGCATGTTTGTTTTCCTTGTTCTGCTGTTTATTGAATGTCTTATTGGTTTTGAATTGCTATATATTGCACTTTTGTTTATTGGCTATTTGATTCTTGTTGTCTAATAAAATGAGTTTGTCGAAGTTTGTTCTTGATTCTACTGATTCAATAACTAAAAAAAAAAGCCAACGTAATAAAAAGTTAAGAGAGCAATATGCTGCACTCTCTGCTCAAGAAAAGGAGATTCGTTTGGCCAAACAGAGAGAGGCATACCAAAGAAGGAAATTAAATAAATTTTTTGCGCTTCCTGCTCACGAACAATTGAAACGAGCTGAAAAATCAGTTATTGGGGAGACTTTTCGCGTTCACCGTAACCAAGCAAAGGTTGAAGACGAGCAAGACCGTCTGGCAAAAAAGAGGGAAATGCGTCGACAGAAACAGAGAGAGGCTTATCACAAGAAAAAATTACACCTATCTTTTGGTACTCATACATCGAAAGATACTGAAGAAATTGTCGATACTGCTCCTGCTACTGCATCAACTGCTACCATGAGTACCAATTGCCTGTCGAGTGAAGATCTAGAAAATCCTCAAAAAATGGAGAGTGCCACTTCTACTGCAAACAACATATTATCTGCTAAAGTACCCTCTCCAGAAAATCTCCAAACAATGGAAAGTGTCCTTCCTGCTGCAAACAACATTTTATTTGCTGAAGTACCATCTAATTCTGGATTAGTTATTGAAAAGCCAGTTGACACTAATGCAAAAGGTATATTATTTATATACAAATGAACGTCTAATCCATGCTTCGGATTCTATAATATTATTATTATCTCTTACTTTTTCTCAATTCTACATTGCTGACTCCTGATTAGTATTCTCAGAGACGAATCTATCCCAGTCAAACAACAATGACAAATGTAAAAAACACGTCACTGTTTTCTCAAGTTATGACAAAGGTATTAATTATTTTTACATTTCACGATTTAAGCTTTTAATATTCATTACATTTCTACTATCCACTATAAACATGTGATGATTTATAATTAGGATGCTCCTCAAATACGAAGTCCAGTGATAAGTATATATGCTCTGGAAACTCTGTTACTCATTGTTCAGGTTAGTTAGTCTCTTCTATTGTTTATGTTTTTTTTCCATATGTGATCTACCATTTAATCTATTTACATTGAATATTAATCTTTATCTATTTTCTATATACGAATATCAGATGAACGTCAGCTATGCTCTGGTTGTTATAATTTTCTATCTCAAAGCCTGCAGGAATTATCAGGTTTCACATATTTAATTATTTGACTAAGCCTATTTACAAAACACTATGATTTCAGACATGATTTAATCATTTTTTCTACACCTACTCTTAATAGAGCAATCAGCACCCTTATCTGCCATACCTCCTACAACTGCACCAGATAATGCTAAGACATCCAAAATAGCTACACAAGACAATGGCCAGCAGACTAAAAGTCAAGGTACTATACTCTTCTCTTACTTAAACATAAACTTCTCACTGCAAATATTTTGAATCTTCACCTTCCTTAATCGCGTATACAATTATTCATCATTTCATTTTTTTGGATTAGTTAGTAAGCTATCTTTTTTTAATACAGCTAGAAATTCTTCACGGCATTGTTCGGTCAAACGCTCTAGGAAAAAAGTAGCTCCAGCGAAAGGTTCTGAACACTTTTTTCTTACTCATTGCACCAAAAGACCCCTAAAATTTCCCCCTTCGATATTTTGCCACTACCTGTATGATTGATTAATATCTTGCTCTATTGCGAACTAGATCAACACTCAATATAACAATCTATCATTTTTATTCATAGGTAATACAGTCATACAAGGAATTGACGCACTTAATTGCATACCTCACAAGTCAAATAAGTTACCTCGGAAGGAAGATTGTCAATATTGTCATGCAAAAAAGTTCCATTCTGAAACAACTAATTTTTGCTGCTCTGATGGTTCTGTTGTTCTCCATGACAATAAATTGCCCAGTGTTCTTGTTGAACTATTCACTGCTCAAACAGAAGAAGCGATTTGTTTCCGTACATATGTTAGAACATATAACAATATGTTTGCTTTCACTTCATTTGGTGTTCACTACGACAAGGCGCTCTGCAAAAGGAACAATGGGATCTACACTTTCAAAATTCAAGGACAGACTTACCATTTTATTAATCAACTGATTCCTCATCATGGTTCAGGAATGTATCTCCAACTTTACTTCCATGACACGGATCATGAGCTACAGAATAGAATGGCCACGTCAGACAGATTAACTGAAAGCCTTGTGATCAAAATCATGGAAGTTATGAAGACAAATCCTTATGCTTGCTTTTTTCGTAGTTTACGAAACGTACCTCAGCTGGATTCTTATCAAATAGTCTTGAAATCTCACACTGATAATGATCAACGTGTATTTAACCAGCCAACAGCTTCCCAAATTGCAGCTCTTTGGGTTGAAGGGGAAAATTCAGCAAACATCTATTCTAGGCATATACAAATATATACCAAAGAGGGTTATATTCATCGAATTCAATATTATTATGGATGCTATGATCCTCTGCAGTACCCGCTCTTGTTCCCATTAGGAGAAACTGGTTGGCATCCAGGAATTAAAAGATCAGAGAAAGTCAATCCAAAAAAAATAAAGAGAGCAACAAAAAACACAACAGACTTCAGCAACATTGTCTAATTTTTGTTCTGCTCAAGAAATGATTGACAAGGAAGAGGAAGGTCAGACTATCTATATGCATTTTTTATATATATAGATAGAAATAGAAACAATAATAATTTTATATTTACATCACTTTTCTTAATGGTTATTTTATGTACAGCTATTCAAGGATGCGAGAACTCAAAGGAATATGTATCAATGAGAGAATACTATGCTTACAAAATGCAAATCAGATACCAGTGCACACCTAACATTCTCAACACTGGAAGACTATTTCAACAATTTGTAGTTGAGATGTATGTAAAGATTGAGACTCAGCGGTTAGATTTCTACAGAAGCAGACAGCAATTAATACGCAGGGAACAATTACAAGGGCTCATGGATAGTGTTGTTCAAGGACAATCTCGCGGAGCACAGATTGGCCATAAAGTTATCCTTCCAGCTTCGTTTATTGGGGGTCCAAGAGATATGAAAAGGCGATACGTAGATGCAATGGCTCTTGTACAAAAATCTGGCCGACCTGATATATTTATTACAATGACTTGTAACCCTGCTTGGCCAGAGATAAAAGAAGCCATGTTACGTACAGATGAAGCTCACAACCGACCAGATCTCCTATCAAGAGTGTTTCATGCAAAGGTCAACATTTTAAAGGAAGATTTATTTAAAAAGCATATATTTGGAGATGTAGCAGCATATACTTATGTTGTGGAATTCCAGAAACGTGGGCTACCACATATTCATATGCTTATTATTCTGCAGCCGAGATCAAAATTATATTCGACAGAATCCTATGATCGAATTGTGTCTGCTGAAATACCAGATGAACAAGCAAATAAACATCTATTTGATATGGTTCGAAAGCACATGATGCATGGCCCATGCGGATCAAAAAATCCAAATAACGTGTGTATGCAAGGCTCATTTATGAGAAGGTGCAGAAATAACTATCCCAAGAAATGGACTGGCAGAACAACTCATGGAAACAACACCTATCCAGCTTATAGACGAAGAAATGATGGCAAGAAAATCATTGTCCGTGGACAAGAACTCGATAGCAGGTGGGTAGTTCCATACAACCCCTATTTACTTGCGAAATTCAATTGTCATATCAATGTTGAAATATGTTCTACTGTTAAAGCTGTTAAATATATCTATAAATATATCTACAAAGGACATGATAAGATACATTTTCAGGTTAACAATGATAATGAACCAATAGCTAATAACCAACCAACTCAGATTGATGAAATTACAGAATATCAATCAGCTAGATGGGTATGCCCAGTTGAAGCTATATGGCGTATTTATAGATTTTCGTTATCTGAAATGCATCCTGCAGTTATTCATCTTCAGCTACACCTTGAGAATTTTCAGTGCATGACTTTTAATGAAAAGGAAGATTTACGAGATCTTTTGCAAAATTCTTTCAGGAAAAGAACAATGCTAACAGAATTTTTTCGCATGAACACTACTGATCCATTAGCTAAGCAGCTAAAATGTACATACAAAGAGTTTCCAGAGCATTTTGTATGGTATCCTGGAAAAAAATATTGGGCGGTAAGACAACAAAAAGATAGCATTGGTAGGATAGTTAGTGCCAGCCCAACAGAGGGTGAACGCTACTTTCTTAGACTGTTGCTTACTCATGTCAAAGCACCAACATCTTTTGATGACTTGAAGATAGTAAATGGAGTTCATGTTAGTACGTATCGACAAGCAACTATCCTGAGAGGTTATTTTGAATCAGATGATTCACAAGAACAATGTATGGAAGAAGCTGCTACATATCATATGCCATACAGTCTAAGGAGATTATTTGCAACTTTATTAGTTTATTTCCCACCGGTAAATCCTCCAGCTTTATGGAACAAATTTGAACAGGCAATGTCTGAAGACTACAATAGGACATCTACTTTACCTCCTGAACAGATTCAACTTGAGGTATTACACCAAATCAGCAACTTTTTGGATTCAATGGGAAAAGACATAAACAGCTTTTCCTTGGTCTCTACGACATTGAGATTCCGAGATAGATACACAAATACAAGAGACACCTTAAGTGAACTCAATATTCAAGTATCGGAAGCAGATTTATTAGCCATTACACAGCTTAATGCAGAACAAAAAACTGTTTTCCACCACATAATGGATGCTATCTTTGTCAAACAAAAGGGATGCTTTTTTATTGATAGCCCTGGAGGCACTGGAAAAACATTTCTATACAAAGCTTTGCTAGCTGAAATAAGATCAAAGGGTTATATAGCTCTTGCAACTGCATCATGTGGAGTTGCAGCATCTATCTTACCCGGAGGACGAACAGCTCACTCGCGCTTCAAAATCCCTATAGATATGAATCCAGCTAACATGTGTAAAGTTAGCAAACAAAGTGCTTCAGCAAATTTAATTCGTCAGGCAAAATTAATTCTTTGGGATGAAGCACCAATGACTCATCGACATGGAATCGAAGGAGTTGATAAGCTTCTAAGAGATCTCATGGACTCCACAGAATTATTTGGAGGAAAAGTTATTGTATTCGGCGGCGATTTCAGACAGGTCTTACCCGTAGTCACAAAAGGAATCAAAACAGATTTTATTGAAGCAAGTATCATTAGTTCCTATATCTGGCCACAACTCACGAAGCTTCATCTCAGCCAAAATATGAGAGCTATAGCTGATCCACAGTTTACTGCTTATCTCCTTCGAATTGGAAATGGAACGGAGCCACTGATCGATGATACCAACATTCACGTGCCAGACCACCTTCTCATACCCTATACTAATGAAGATGAGTCCATCAATATACTCATAAATTCTGTTTTTCCAGATCTTACAGCTTTTACTAATGAAAACTTTTCTTTGATAAATCGAGCAATACTTACAACTAAAAATGAATTTGTTGATGAACTAAATAACATCCTTATACAGAACTTTCCTGGACAAGCACATGAATATATAAGTCGAGATAAATCCATTATAGAATCAGAACAAGCAGTCTTAGAAGATTTCCTTAATAGTTTAACTCCAAATGGTTTCCCACCTCATAAAATTATCCTGAAACCAAATACACCAATAATTCTACTAAGAAATATTGATCCTCCAGAAGGTCTCTGCAATGGCACCAGGCTTATATGTAAATCTTTAACACAAAATATTATACATGCTACTATTAGTTGTGGTGAATTTACTGGTAAAGAGGTGTTTCTTCATAGAATCTGTTTTCGAATAGATAATGATATTGATTGCCCTGTTTCTTTTGAAAGAATTCAGTTTCCTGTTCGTTTGTGTTTCGCAATGACTATTAATAAAGCTCAAGGTCAAACTTTGGATTATGTTGGATTATACTTACGTGAATCGGTATTTTCTCATGGACAATTTTATGTAGCAATGTCTAGAGCTAAAAATAGTACATCTATTAAAATACTAATTAGACCCCCTAATTTCAATACTGAATCATACAATGTCACACAAAATATAGTATACAGAGATGTTTTAGACATAGCAAATAACTAGATCTATTACCATTCGTACATTACTCCTGTTGATTTAATAAAAACTGAACATAGCTCTATATGATGAATATCCTGTTTCATACTAATTTATAGCTTTAACTCTTTACATCATTCCTTTGCAGCATCTGTTAACTGACAGGCATTATTCAGGAACTTTCTTTTTCACTCATGGAAAGGAATATCAGCAAACTCAATAAAATTGTACCCAATATGCAACACTTGACAGCTATAGTTCAAGTGTTTGACAAACAAAAAGTCCAAATATCAAAGGCTGGAAACAAATACAAAAAATTAGTTCTGGTTGACGATGAGGTATGATTAGCTTCTCTTTTATATATATCTACATAACAAACAACTAATTATAATTACTTTTTTTTTACCATGGAAAACAAACTTCCTCTCAGGGAAACAAGGTTGATGCCATCATCTGCAAATCTGACATAGAGTTCTTCAAAGATCATTTCCATCTTTACAAAAGGTACATGATATCAAATGCACGAGTGGAGCGAACACAGTTAGAATACCAAACTCATGAGAACCAGTGTAACTGGATAATCGATAACTCTACTGTTGTTGAGGCTATCCAAGAACCAAACCCTCCGCAGCTTCCTCTCACAATCAACTTCACTCCTTTCAAGAAATTCCACCAACATATAGATGATAACAGCGAAATAGGTACACCACTTCAACAAAAAAATATAATTCTATATTAAATTTGTTGTAACAATCTAAATATATATAACTCTTCTCCAATTAGATGTCCTAGGTGTTGTCAGTGAAGTTCATCTTCGTACCTACAAAGGAACAACACCAAAGAGAGAAATCATACTTATCGATCAAAGGTAACAATCACATCTATCAGATCTCACATCAGACTTATTTTAGCATATTCCTTAATTCTGTCAAATAAATAAACAGTTTAATGCCTGTAATCTTGACGCTCTGGGGAGATCATGAAATTGATGAAGGCCAAACTTTAACCAACATGGTGCAGAATATGCCTTTCATTGCTGCTCTACGACTCAAAGTGACTTCTTATCATAGTAAGTACCTACCTACATTCTAATTACATTACCATATACAAATTAAATTGTACTTATAGATCCAGATATCTTCACCGCAGCTATGAATCTGTCTACGAAATTTGGCTCTAGCATTCTAATAAATCCACCAATCCAGCAAGCTTCTGAGATCAAGACATGGTAAATAATACCCTTATACTATAAAACTTTTCCAATCATTCACTACTTAATTACATTTGCATGAATAGCTTTTATCCTGACAAAAACATACTGTGCAGGACAACAAAAAATGAGTATCAAATCCGACATCTAATGGCTGACCAAGCATACAACGATCGATCAAGATTGCTACCATTACCAGATGCAGAGGAAATGACCACAATAAGAGACTACCTTCAATTTCCCTTAGTAAATTTCACTTACACAACTCCTTTCCACAAAACACACAGGTCAATCACTAAATATCACAATAGAAAAAAAAAATGAATAACCATACATATATGTGACAGCAACAGGCTTATTGGATACAAGGAACTCCTAAACTGCTTGACCGAAGTCAAAAATTCTGGTACAACGCATGCCCACGATGCTTCAAATCTGTGCGTTCTATTCCACAGTGGCCAATTGTCTGTGCATCTTGCAACACACGCGTCCAAGTCAGCCCAAGGTATGATCGAAACCTCCACTTTAACAAAATATTTACAAGTTGTTATCTACTAAAAAAATTACATCACAATAATCTTCACTCGAAAATAGACGTCGATTGACTGTGCAACTAGAGGATTACACTGGAAATATGACCCTGGATCTCTATGGAAATGATGCTTCTCAGTTGCTTCCTTTTACAATACAAGAAATTCAACAACAGGAGCAACAGGTGAGCATATATAAACTCAATACGTTCTAACCTCCTATTATTACACAAACACCTACATATACCTTACACTAATAAAAACTTATGATTCTCTTTACATTGTAGAACAAACTCAACTATCAAGCAATAGAAGACAGTGTCAGCAGCAGCATAATAGTCTGCTTCATCAAAAAGACTGCTTCAAACTATGTCTCAGGAACCAACATGAAATACTCGGCTATCATAGTACACAAACTTCCTAACATCACCGATACTTCAGAAAGCAGCTCCAGCGCAATTAGTGGAGAAAAAAATACAACAAAAATGCTCATCGACTCTCCACCACAGCCAGAGACAACCGAAGTTGTACACACCTGAATCTTCAGCAAATGTAGACAACAATCTCCTCACCGCACTCAAACTGACAGAAAGCCCCATCAAAAAACAGCGCACCGAAACCTAGGCAAAATAAGCTTAAAAAATACTTTTGAAACTATAAAAAGCTCCAAGAAGCTTTAGTTGTAAATATCTGTAAATACGTGTGAATGTCTATATAACAAATGCAATACAGCGACCTTTTGTAGAATACACTTATCACTCAGTTCCTCAATGCAATAACATAAAAAAAAAAAAAAACAATCCCTCGACGCCCGCGCATCGCGCGGGGACCACAACTAGTATATATAATATAAACGTTGTGCATGAACGATGAAGAATTGGAAAGATTTATGTTATTCTTCATCCGATCCCTCCCCTCAAGCTGCTTCTTCACTCAGAAAAGTTGAAAATTTTCAAGGTACAAGATAAACACATAAAATAGAGGAGCAGGTCCACAATAAAATTTAAATATTATCATCCACCTCCTAAATTGTTTAAATTTTTAAGGGCAAATTACACTTTACTCTCCTGCGGTTTAGTGATTTTTTACGTAACCTTCTATGGTTTCAAAAGTTATACGTAACATCTTCATAGTTTGGATTAAAGTGTTAAAGTGATGGAATTTGCATTCTATAACAAAGTCAACTAAAAGTAAAAAATACTCATATGTAAAGTTAAAAATTATTTATTAACCATAGAGGGATTATGTGTATATTTTGAAAATCATAAGAGAGTTATATGGTAAAGTTTTAAACTATAAGGGGGTTAACGAAGTGTATTCTTCAACATAACCCTTCTAATTCTGATCCAATGGTTATATTAAGTGGTTAAAAAAAAAAAAGACCCTTGGTTCCAATTGCATTTACAACTAAAATGGCTGAAAAGACTGAAAGTATACATTTTTTTAATGTTCAATAGCTACTTTGAAACAAAATTTAGATCAGGGACCAAAACTTGACAATGGAAGTAATTTAAAGGCGTTCTATACACTTTATCCCTTGTTCTGTCGGCACTAATGACTAAATTTGACGAGAATCCTTAAACGTGACAATTTTTTATTGAGGGGCATATTTGCGAGACTACATTATTGAGGGGTCAAAAGAGTGCAAAGAAAATAGTTTAGTGGTCAATCGGATGGTTTCCTGAAAAAAAAAAATTATAACAAAGACGACATGTTATACACCATTTGATTAAAAATTTACATGATAAATTAGTTTCTCGTCTAACCTATGAACGTTACGAGCTCGAACATGACTTTGAACGGTGCTTCTTTTTTTTTTTTCAAAGGGACTTTGAACCACGGTCAAAATAGCAAGCATAGTGGGAAATTCAGAATCAATATTTAGACCCTGTATAGCTTTGAGCAACTGCTGGCCTTTGTACTCCCGGAATTTTACGTGCTCTACCAACGCTGAACTGACCTCCATGATCATGAACAAAGATGAACCCACTTGTCACCATCATGAGCGCAGCAAACAGCCCTACGCCAGCAGCTCCCAAGTCCTTGAATATGGCCCCAGAAGAATCAATTATCAGCTGCCTTTCACATGGAGCCGTCCAAGAGGACTCTGCTGTCCTCTGGTTCGTCTCTACTGCCTGCACTGTATTAGCTTGTTTGAAGTTATTAAACTTACTGTTCATTGTCAACATCAGATAAATTGGATTGGCCGCACTAAGAATAGAATTAAAACTTTAAAAACAGGAATACAAATGGAAGCACAAAGTCAAACACCAGTAATATAAGGTTTGCTATCTCCGATGAGTCATTAACTAACACACTCAGAAATTTAGAAAATTATCCATTAAGCATCCACAAGAACATGGAGCACCGGCATTTCTCATCACTGCTCTACCATCTCAAGGCCACATCAATCCTACTCTTCAGCTAGCTAAAAATCTTGCACGAACAGGTGCCCAAGTCACCTTTGCCACCACGGTTTATGGATTTAGCCGCATTAGAAACCTTCCAGCCTCTGGTTGTCTCTCCTTTGCATCCTTCTCCGATGGATATGATGATGAAAAGTCTCAGAAAAACCGCGATTTCACGAGCTTTTCATCTGATACAAAGCGTTTCGGTTATAAAGACCTTACCAAGTTGATCCAAACTACATCCAAGGAGGGTCGTCCAGTTACCTTCTTAATCTACACAGTTATGCTGCCTTGGGTGGCAGAAGTGGCGTGCGAGATGCATATTCCATCGGCGTTCTTAGCTATCCAAAGTGCCACCACATTTGCCATCTATCACAGGTACTTCAATAGCCATGATGGTTTTTATGATGGAGTTCGTGAAGTTGAGTGTTCTTCAATTTCCATCAAATTGCCTGATCTTCCCTTCTTCGAAAAGGAGGATTTGCCCACCTTTCTCTTACCTAATGATCAGTTCTTTGCTTTTACAGTTCCTTTTTTTCATGAACATATAAAGATCTTAGAGCAAGACTCTAAACCTTGTGTACTAGTCAATACTTTTAACGAGTTGGAAGAATCATCAATCAAAGCTGTTGATGGTATGAATCTGATCCCAATTGGACCTTTGATTCCTTCAGCTTTTTCTGATCGCAATGATTTGACTGATAAATCTGTCGGTGTCGACTTATTTGACACCCCCTCAAAAGGCTTTCTCCAATGGTTGGACTCAAAGCCAGAAAGGTCAGTGGTTTATGCATCATTCGGAAGCCTTGTGACATTAAAGAAAGAAGAAAAGATGGAGATTTTGCATGGATTAAAGGAAGCTGGAAGGTCTTATTTGCTCGTGTTACGAGCAGATAACGAACAGGAAGAAGAAGTAAAGGCAGTGGTAGAAAATATTTCAAGTGAAGAGGGGATGATAGTGCCATGGTGTTCACAAATGGAGGTACTCTGTCACAGATCAATAGGGTGTTTTCTCACACACTGTGGGTGGAATTCAACACTGGAGAGTATTGTTGCTGGGGTTCCAATTGTGGGATGTCCACATTTATCTGATCAGACAACAAATGCAAAGTTGATCGAGGAAGTTTGGGGTATTGGGGTGAGAGCAAAAGCTAATGAAGAAGGGGTGGTGGAAAGAGCAGAGATCAGGAGGTGCTTGGATACTGTGATGGGAGGCGGTGAAAAAGGGGAAGAAATAAGAAGAAATTCTGCTAAATGGAGATGTATGGCGATTGAGGCTGTGAAGGAAAATGGATCTTCACATAACAATTTCAGAAACTTCTTGCAGAAATTAGAGTAAGGAGACAAGGATATGATGATTTTGAGTCTGAGTTTATGAAGTGATCATCAATTGAACCTTTTGTCATTTGTCATGACTAACATGCCAATTGAATTTATTGCTCATCTTTCTGTTGCATTGGTCGCGTCTTACATGATCAAATTGAATTATGTTTCCAACAATTATTTAAATCACTTACCAAGACCGATGAAAAAGGGAAAAGATTTAGGGTAAATTACATATAACCCCCATAGTGGTGCATAATGCCAGATAACCCCTTTAAGGTTTCAAAATATTCATATAACTCTCCTATGATTTTATGTAAAGTAGAAAATAGATGAAATACACAATTAATTACAGCAGTTGTACGAGAGATGCTCCAAAAGTCTATGTGATAAGATCATAATATCTGCTTAACCCCACTATGGTTTGCATAAACATCCATTACAGCCCTTTTTAGTTTTTGCATTTATCTACATAATTCCTATGTGATTTTATATAAGGTGATTAAGTCATCATTTGATGTAGCATTTAAACAAGAATATTACTGGTATTTCAACTAAAGACGCTATATAGGTTATTTTTCATTAAGTTTCCACTTTATATGAAATTATTGGAGGTTTAAAATGTTAGAGGAGTCATGTGATAATAAATGAAATCATAAGGGATTTATTTGTAATTTACCGAAATTCCTAATCCAATCGCTCGAGCACCTTCTTCACATCAGAAAAGTTGAAGTTTTTTATTTAACCAATTAGACAACAGGTGAGTGCAATAACAACTTAGGTAACAGCTGATTAGTAAAATTATAGGACTATTTTAAATTTGTACCCCTAACATTGTACACTTTCCACCATGAACTTTAATTCCTTACGTATTGTACACTAAACTCATAAATATGTCCTATTCAAGTTCAATTGTTAACAATGTAAGTAAAACCAATGAAAAGAAACCTCCATATTGTTCACTCCTTGTGTTTGTCAGAAAAAAGCCAACTAAAAATGAACACCTAGTGGATCATAAATAGCAAAAGCATATTCTTGTTCTTTTTTTGGCTTATTTTTTTCTCGTAAATTACAAATTAATCCAAGAAGTTGAACTTGATGGCTTATGCAACTTGACACGCACTGACTAATTCTGTCCAAATAATGCAAAGGATAGAAAATATGTTTTACTGATGCCACAGAAAATATGTTCGTCAATGAAGTCAGTCGAGTAGGAAAGAATTAGGCGAACTTGTCTTATTTTTTGTGAAGAATAGAAAGATAGTATACTTCAGTGATTGGTTGGTTGGTATATAGTATACTTCTTAACGTTTGAAACGTAGTTGGCCCCTTTTATTTTATGTTACACGTTCCAATCATGAATTGTGGAAAATGTGGTTTATGGAGAAAAGCATCAACGCACAGGAACCGGATCAAGTGAACGAAGCTAGTCAAGATGCATACTTCCAAACACAACTCACAAATTGAAGCGTAAAAGTCATTTACACAAGTTTGAATATAAGCTTTGCAATCTCCTCATCAGTCAATAACCAATACGCGCAAAAGATTAGGAAATAATTGAGCATCCACCATGAACATCAAGCACCAGCACTTTCTCATCACTGCTCTACCAGCCCAAGGCCACATCAACCCTACTCTTCAGCTAGCAAAAAACTTGGCAAGAGCCGGTGCACAAGTCACCTTTGCCACCACGGTTTATGGCATTAGCCGCATTAAAAACCCTCCAGCCTCTATTGGTCTCTCTTTTGCATCCTTTTCGGATGGCTATGATGATGCAGAATCCATGAAAAACCGCGATTTCGCGTGCT